AAGACAGGTATGTAATTAAGGGAATATTCCCCAATAATACCTGAGTAATTACATGTAAAAGCAAAATTTTTAGCTGCACAATAACATGTCACGAAAAGAAGAAAACTTGAAAACATCAGCGTTTTTATAAAAAACCGACTAGTACAACCTCCAATTTTTTTTTTTTCAAAATAAAAAACTACGTTTTTATGGTAATTGGAAATGGTATTATAACTTTGGTCCGATGTTTGTAAGTACCAGAATAAAAAGAGATAGACCCATTAAAATGTATACTTGTATGATCAGAACGTCGAGCTGAGTCGATTGAGCCATGTCCGTCTGTCCGTCTGTCTGTCTGTCTGTCTGTCCGTCTGTTTGTATGCAATCTAGTCTCTCAGTTTTCGAGATATCCTGATGAAATTAGGTAAGTGGGTGTATTTTTATATTGTATTAATCATTTGTCGGAAGCGGAACAATCGGACCAATATAACATATAGCTCCCATACAACTGATTGTTCAGATATGAGACTTTTCGTTATAACTCCTCCATTTATGCAGCTAAGAACATGAAATTTGGAAGTAGTTCCACCCATTATCAACAGAAAACTTAGAGCGAAAATTACAAAGATCGGGTCACTGTAACCTATAGCTCCCATACTACTGATTGTTCAGATATGAGATTTATCGTTATATCTCCTCCATTTAAGTAGCTAGTANCAATACTTCCACCCATTATCAACAGAAAACTTAGAGTGAAAATTACAAAGATCGGGTCACTGTAACCTATAGCTCCCATACTACTGATTGTTCAGATATGAGATTTATCGTTATATCTCCTCCATTTAAGTAGCTAGTAACATGACATTTTGCACTATTGTCCCTCATTATCAAAAGAATACTTTCAGTGGAAATGGCGAAGATCGGGTTGCTATAACCTATAGCCTCCATACAACTGATTATTCAGATATGAGATTTTTTGCCATAGCTCCTCCATTTATGCAGCTAGGAACATGAAATTTCGCACCGTTCTACTCATTACTAACAGAATACTTACAGTGAAAATTACAAAGATCGGGTGACTATATCATATACCTCCCATACAACTGATTGTTCAGATATGAGAATTTTCGTTATAACTCCTCCATTTATGCAGCTGGGAATATGAAATTTCGCACTATTTCCACCCATTATCAAAAGAATACAGTGAAAATGGTGAAGATTTGGTCGCAATAACCTATAGCCTCCATACAACTGATTGTTCAGATATGAGATTTTTTGTTATAAATTATCCATTTATGCAGCTAGAAACATTAATTTCCCACTATTTTCACTCATTATCAATAAAAAGTTTACAGTAAAATGAACAAAGATCCGGTCGCTATAACCTATTTATTGCCTCCATACCACGGATTGTTCAGATACCAGTTTTTCGATATATCTCCTTTATGTTGGAAGCTAAACCCATTAAATTGTGTTACCGGTTTACACACCGATCACACAGCAGGGAAAATCAATTAGATTGGTGTTATATAAGGTATATCTTTCATACCTTTGATTGTATAGATATAATTTTTTATATATGTATCTCCTCTATCTAAGTATGTATGCCGTGAATATATACATTTTTTCAAATGCAGTAATCTGGTAAAGTAATATTTTCAGATGTTCATGAAAGGTATTAAGCCTTCGGCATAGCCGAAGACAGCGTTTCCTTACTTGTTTTTATATAGCCCAGTATCCTCCCTGAAGTCGAACTTATTAGAAGAATGCGAGGAAATGAAAACTGCGTTTCCTGTGTTGTATAAACAAGCACGATCATATTCACATATAGCTGCAACATCTGGGATTGTTTTCGAAAGCCGGAGCAACAATAACCACGTCATGAAATCGGTTGACTGGAAAACATTTAGAAAAACTTCTACTGAACAACAAAAAAAAGATTTTTTCGCTGAAATATTTTATTAATAAATGTTTTCTTAAATAAGATTAACTTGTAGTCTTTTCCAATGTATACGTATCTGTGTAAATACCAGGGATGTGAACCGGTTTTGAACCGGAAATCCGTTTTTTTTTCTATTAATTAACTGAACCATTAGCCGAACCGAAATTTTCCACAAATGTTTGATCCGAACCGCAAACCGAACCACTTTTCATAAAGGTTTAAAGGTACGTTTCAACCAATTGTGAATAGAAAAAATTTACCCATTTTGTTCTTTTTGTTAAATATAGTAATACATACCATTTGACAATATCAAATTTAATGGCAACCCATCTCATTTGAAAGACACTTGACACTTATCCTTGCGCGTTGTTGCACTTGACACTTAAACTTGTGCGATATTTTTTTTTGATTTCCGAACCGTTGAACCGAACCGAAACCCCGGTTCAAATACCAAAAAACCCTCTTTGACGAACCAATCCAAAAGTGCTGAAATGGTTTGAACCGCTGAACTGAACCGACCAAGTTTTCCATCCGGTTCACGTCCCTGGTAAATACCATTTGAATGAGCAAGTGGGCTTTTCCACTTGCCGTTGCCCAAGGAAATAAAAAACCAAAAACGTTTAAGTTTGACGATTTATTTGAAGAGCAGCCCTTGTGGCCTTGCTCTGTTCATAAGTGGACTGATAGTTAAAATACAATTCAATAGCTTCTTATATACAAAAAGTTTGCGATGATATATGCCGTTATGCATTGCCCTTGAAACTTGTTTGTTCTCGATGAGCGGTCCATAAAAACTTACATTTGGTCAGCGACCCAATTATGTTACTGTTTAAAATCATAACATTCGCTTATCACTAAGAGAATCGTCGGCTCGCTGCTAGCTGGTTATCATGATAGAAGAGTGATAAGCGAAGAGCATCGACGGTGCGGCTACCAAATGTAGTCACCGCGAACAGAGTGTTGTTGTCATTGTTGTATGCCCAAGCATGTATGTATGAAAGTGTAGATACCTCCCTGCAAAAAATTGTGCGACTAATTGGGCATTAATTAGTCCGAACTAGTCTCATACGGGTACTAATGGAGGCCAATTAGTCTCGACTCATCCCTTATGGGTATAACTGGAGATCAATTAGTCCCCAACTCATCTCTAACGGGTACTATTAACGATTTAATGATATGTACGCACTTAGTCAATGAAATTTCATGTGCGGCGTTGGCACACAAAGAGAGTGTTCGCCTAACAAAACTGAGCACCCCGGTTCGAATCTCAGCTGGCGCAAATTTTTATATTTATTTTTTAAAAGTGACTAGTCGCTTTTTATACCCATTCGGGTATAAAGGTGAACAATTAGACTCTTCATAGGACATGCTCGAACAAAAGCGATCAGTTCATTCCATATCAAGAGATCAAAAGTGGTATTAGTCGCATGCTCCTTTGCGATTGCTCCCGGAGTCATCCCGGATTAGTCCCATTTTTTGCAGGGCTATTTGACTACATACATATATCCAGAAGTTGAGAGTGCATTGACGTATGTAGCTAGGTGCGGTTGTGTGTACATATGTATGTATACCAGCGGCAGCGGTTATTATGTTTTGCGGCCAGCTGATAAAGCAAATTACAGTGGTGGCTCAGTAAGTCGTACAGTTTGAGGATTATGTGCTCCAACATCCTCCCCCCCCTTGAATGCAGCGCTTTCAATAAGCTGTGAATTAGAATAAATACGCAAATTTTATTGTTTAACTTCGACGGGCAGTTTACTCAGCCTAGTTATCGCCCGTTTCTGAACTCCACTTGTTGTCTTAACGACTGCGACTCGTACGGCACCATCATTGCCTGGAATTGTCTCCACGACTCGTCCCAATGGCCATCTTAACGGCGGTACATTGTCTTCCTTGATCAACACCAGATCGTTGAGTTGAATGTTATTGCGTGGTGTACTCCACTTCACCCGTTGCTGAAGCTCCTTGATGTATTCCGCTTGCCATCGTTCCCAAAAATTTTGTTGAATTGCCTGTACAATTTGAAACCGTTTAAGTAGACAACCCTTTGATATTGTTGGTTCCGAGATTGCAGTCAGGGGCCTGCCTACTAAAAAATGGGCTGGGGTCAATGCACGAAGATCATCGGGGTTGGTTGATAGCGGAGTTAGAGGTCGGCTATTTATTATAGCTTCTGCTTGACAGCAAACTGTATGCAACTCGTCGAAGTTGAGTAGATGTGAACCGACTGCTCTGCGGAGATAATATTTGGCGCGTTTGACGGCACTTTCCCATAGACCGCCGAAATGGGGGGACCTGGGTGGGATAAATTTCCACTCTATACCTTCTTCCGCAAGTTTCTCCTGAATTGCTGTAATGTGCTGCTGTGAGATGAATGCTAACAACATTTCGCGTAGTTCGCGATTTGCGCCAACGAAGTTTGTTGCATTGTCAGAGAAAATTGTTTTGCACCTTCCTCGTCTCGCGATGAAGCGTTTGAGCGCGGCAATGAATGACATCGTTGTAAGATCTGGAACCAGTTCAAGAGGCACCGCTTTGGTTGTGAAGCAGATGAATAAACTTATGTACACCTTCAATGGTCCCCTGTTTCGGATTCGTTGCGTAATTGAGAATGGGCCACAGTAGTCAACGCCCGAGATTTCGAACGGAAATATTGGTTGCACACGGTCTTAAGGAAGGGCGCCCATTAGCTGGTACTCTAGATGTGGCTTGTTACGGAAGCACAGCACGCATCGATGCACCACTTGCCTTATTAGACTCCTTATGTTTACTATCCAAAATCTGTCACGAATAATACTTAACAATGTTTGGCAGCCAGCATGTAAGTGGCGGCGATGGAGTGTGTCAACAAGCGTGCGAACGAACGGATGTGTCTTCGGCAAGAGAATGGGGTGTTTTGCTTCGAACGGAAATGAGTAGTTGTTAAGTCTCCCACCGACTCTTATGACTCAATTGTGAATAAATGGAGAAAGTTGATTAAAATTTGAAAGACGACTTACACCACCGCTTTCCAATTCCTTATATTCCTTTGCAAAGGCTGTTCTCTGAATATATTCGCATATTAACAAAAGAGACGAATCTAACTCGCTGGCGGTAATGGGACCAGCTTCAAATGGTATATGACGCATTGACGAAATAAAACGATTGATATACGCAAAAATACGAAAAATCTTGGCGTCTGAATGCCATCGATGAACGATAACTGATGGCACATACCCTTCCATTCAGTGTGAATTGATTGGGGAACTGCTTCATTCCACGCAAGACGCAGCTTCCACAGCTGCTGCATAAGTATTTTGCATTTTACCATGACGGGATTGAGCAAGCCAAGCGGATCGAAAAAGCTGGCCACCTGTGATAGTATTGTTCTCTTGGTAACCTTTGATGATTGATGACCAGGCGGTGTGTATGAGAACATGAAGCAGTCCGTCCTTGGAGACCATTTGAGACCTAGAGCCTTGACATAAGCTTTGTCGTCAACACTTACAATTTGCTCCCGATCTTCTGCTGCTACGTCGGCTATGATGTCATCTGAGTTGGATGCGAACTTTCGAAGGGGAAATCCCCCAGTTTTTAACAGACTGCTGACTTCGGTTTTTATGGAGTTCACTTCATCGATTGTAGCACCACCAGTCATCAGGTTGTCGACGTAGAAATCACGAAGAGTAATCGGTGCTCCAATTGGATATGCCGACATATTTTCATGTGCTAATTGTTGCAAACATCGAACTGCCAAAAATGGCGCACATCTGGTTCCGTAGGTGACCGTTTGCAGCTGGTATGTTGCAAGTGGCTCGTTGGGTGTGTTGCGCCACAGAATGCACTGCCACTTAGCATCCCTTGGATCTACAATGATTTGCCGATACATTTTGGCTGTATCGGCCATTAGAACGTATCGATGAGTGCGAAACCTTAACAAGATTGTTACGATGTCATCTTGTAGATTGGGTCCAACGCGAAGAATGCTGTTGAGGACCCTTCCATTGGAGGTGCTGCACGAAGCGTCAAACACCACCCGTAGCTTGGTCGTTGAGCTGTCCATTTTTTTGACGCAATGGTGTGGAATATACGTGCCCACCTTAGCGGTGAATTCATGCGGATCTACCAACGTCATGTGCTTAAGCTCTATGTACACATGCATGAATTTACTGTATTCAGTCTTGAGTACTGGATCGCGTAGCACCCTTTTTTCCATTGCGTAAAAACGTCGCTTTTCTATGTCGATTGATTGTCCAAGTACGGATGGCTCTTCAGAAAATGGTAGTCGAACGATGAATTTATTCGTTAGCGGACAACGAGTGGTATTTTGACGAAAGTGAGCCTCGCATTCTTCTTCGGGTGATGTTCGTGAATTTGCTTGATGACGGGCAGTATCTTCAAGTCTCCAGAAGCGTTCTAAAGACTCGTCTAATGGTGATTGTGTAAGTGTTGGTGGATTGACGGATTTCAACAATGACACCGCTGTTGATAATGATGATGATGATAGCGCTGAGCATGAGTTGATTGCACCAGCCACTATCCATCCCAATTGAGTCTTTTGAAGTATTGGCAGCTCCTCTCCGATCTTTATCTGGCCTACTGACAGGATGTCAAAGAAGAGACTTGCTCCAATTAGCAAATCAATCGGACCGAATGTGTTGAATGTGTCGTCAGCTAGGGCTATGTTTTTCGGTATACTCCAGGCTGCGATGTCGATGGATTTTTGTGGTTGAGACGACGAAATTTTTGGCATGATCACCACCTCTGTTAGTGCTGCAAATCCACTATGTAGTGATTTAATTTCGATGACTGCTGAGTATCGTTACGTGGTCGACACGGACCCAATTCCACTAATTTCCGTGGTCACCTTGTTTCTCTTGACCCTTAATAATTGGGCAATGCGCTCGGAGATGAAACTCAGCTGGGACCCAGAGTCCAGCAAAGCACGAGCCATTAGCGTTGTTCCATGTGTATTGTGCAACTGCACTAGCGCAGTTGCCAAGATAACGTCCTGATGTGGCCTACCTGCATGCAGCGCCGATGTAGATGCTTGATGTAGTGCTTGATCACCTACAGATGGTTGTTGACTTCTATGAAGAAGAGTGTGATGAGGCTATTTGCACTCTTGACATCGATTAGTTGATGGGCAATTGGGTGCTGTGTGCTTTGCTCCTAGGCAGTTGAAACAAAGACGATTGTTCTTAACCAAGATGTAGCGCTTCATTGGATCCATCAGTGTGAATTTAGTGCACTTAAAGGCCGTATGGTGGTTGCTTTCATTACAAAGCGTACATTTGTTGTTGTTTGCGGTTGCTGTGAATGTTGATTTTTGCCCTGAGGATTTTGTTGCTGCTGTTGACGTGCCTTTGCCTAGTGAACCTTTGTTGGCCTCAATGATGCTTACTGTTTGGCATCGGCGTTCGATGAATTTCGTCAGATCATCCCAGGACGGAAGATGAAGGCTTGGGGAGCTCGCTTTGTCGCATGTTGCTACAATTTCTTCCTCCCACTTCACTTGCATATCTGGATCCAATTTTGCAACTATAAGTTGGAGTAGTATACCATCCGCAATTTGATTTGGTGAGGCAAATGATTGCATTGCCCGAAGATGCGCGTTTATGCTGTCGACAAATTCTCTCAATGATGAAGCGTTTGCAGGCCGTGTGCCCTTGCAGTTGAGTATTGCTTGCAGATGCGATTGAAAGATGTACCTCTTGTTGTCATATCTGGTGATTAATAGCTCAATTGCGCGCTTGTAGTTACTGCTGGTAACTTCTAGCGACTGTACCAAGCGAAAGGCGTTGTGTGTGAGGTACGAGCGCAAGTACTGGAACTTCTCTATGTCCTCCAGTCCCGAGTTATTGTGAACAAGGGTTGTAAACATATTGAAGAAGTCCAGCCATTCTGTGTAGCTGCCACTAAACTTGGTTAGCTGCAGTTTCGCAAGCTGTGGCGACGAGTCGACGGTGATGGCGCGACCACTCTCGTACTGCTGAGCGTGTATACCCTGCGCAACTCCGACATGCGCTCAATGATTGCACTCTTCACTTCACAAAAAGTGTCTTCAAATGTTGTGCGATGATAAACTTCCAGCTGAGATTCGTCCAGTGACTCGAGCTCTGTCTGTAGCCGCTCGAAAGTGTTGAAGTGGTGTTCCACCAGCTGCAGCTTCGTCTCTAACTGGTATTGCGACATGTTGTCTAGTTGATGGATGCTGGTGTGCAGGTCCATAACCCGTTGAATTAGGCGCTGACGCTTTAGCATCCTTACTTGAATATTGGTATTATTGGCCATCATTGCCGGCGTTCCACAGTCTGTGTCTGAACCCATGACAGCTTCTTGGCGAGCCAGATAAATCCGGCTCGAAGGACCTCGATGAATGAGCAAGTGGGCTTTTCCACTTGCCGTTGCCCAAGGAAAATAAGGAATAAAAAGCCAAAAACGTTTAAGTTTGACGATTTATTTGAAGAGCAGCCCTTGTGGACTTGCTCTGTTCATAAGTGGACTGATAGTTAAAATATAATTCAATAGCTTCTTATATACAAAAAGTTTGCGATGATATACGCCGTTATGCATTGCCCTTGAAACTTGTTTGTTTTCGATGATCGGTCCATACAAACTTATATTTGGTCAGCGACCCAATTATGTTACCGTTTGAAATCATAACATTCGCTTATCACTAAGAGAATCGTCGGCTCGCTGCTAGCTGGTTATCATGATAGAAGAGTGATAAGCGAAGAGCATCGACGGTGCGGCTACCAAATGTAGTCACCGCGAACAGAGTGTTGTTGTCAGTTTTGTATGCCCAAGCATGTATGTATGAAAGTGTAGATACCTATTTGACTACATACATATATCCAGAAGTTGAGAGTGCATTTACGTATGTAGCTAGGTGCGGTTGTGTGTACATATGTATGTATATCAGCGGCAGCGGTTATTATGTTTTGCGGCCAGCCGATAAAGCAAATTACAGTGGTGGCTCAGTAAGTCGTACAGTTTGAGGATTATGTGCTCTAACACCATTCATCATTAAACATACAGTTCTGTTATGTAAAGGAATTTCATTTATTTTCAGTTCCTACATTATTAAATTTTAATATTCGGAGTTTAGGATGCCCAGAGGATGATTAAATTGTGATTTAGGAAACTAGATTTAACTAATACGGGATACACAATGAGTACCGATGCGAGTGGGTATCGACACTTTAGGTCCGATATGGTATCGTTTCATCCCTATTTCAAGCTGAACATTTGAAAGCATGCATGCGTAGTCGGCAGCGGCTGAGCGTGTAGAGGAGCGTGCCGCTATTTTTGGCTTACAGAAGGTGCCGGGTTCGAATTCCGTCAGGCTCTTACTTAATTTAATTTTTTTTTGGGCCATGAAAAAGTATCTATCAGAAGGAAAGCGTATTGAAGGAAAAATTCAATCAGACAAATTTCAGAAAACAGCCAAAAAGTATCCGAAGGAAAGCGTATTGAAGGAGAAATTCAATCAGACCAATTTCAGAAAAACAGCCAAAAAAGTATCCGTTTTACAAACATGTATATACGTTTCTGCCGCACACTTTAGTGGGAAAATCGATCGTTAAAGCAGCCACTTTTTTCCCTTTTTCGGATTTTTTGCTGGCTGGGTTGTTGATGGAAATTCAACATTTGAAAGCACATTTACATCATCTGGTTGTACCTGAGTGCGCAAAGATGCTTGTCACAATTTGTTGATATCCATGCATATTAATGTATGTATATATATATTTTTATGTTTTTATCTTGATTTACGGATGCTTTTTCAGAACGAACGCGGTCATTTTAATATGCGTATAGTTGAACTGAATATTTACCACAGTACAGTTGTACAGTACTTTCGTTGACGTTTATAGTAAGATAAACTACGTATCTGATTGATTTTAATATTTTTTCCCCTCAGTGTAGTTCTTTCAAACGATGTATTTTAATGTTCATACATCATCTAATATGTACATATACATATTTTATTTATTTATTTATTATTATTAGTTACAAAATGTTAAATCTTATAACTAAACAAAGGAGCGCTAGCTACCAGGGCTTTCGGCTCGGTCGTAAAATAAAATGCAATCAAATAAATTTGTATAAATTACAGGTTTTGATAAATTTTTCTATCTTAGCTAAATTTTCGATTGTAGGATTTTTCAATAGGCTAGTTGGGGTAATGTTTCTAAAAATAGTTTTACGGAAGTTATACAAAACGGGACAGTCATTGAGTATGTGGTTTACGGATGTTGTCTGATTGCAGAGTTGACAGGCAGGTGGCGGCTTTCCATTAAAAAGATGCACGTGGGTGATTTTGGTATGCCCCATTCTCAGTCGCACGAAGTATGCACTTTGTTGCCGGGTGTATGATGGTGGATAAATTGGCTTGAGACCATTTGGGTTGAAGTTTCGGTAAAAGTGAGTGTGAGATTCCCATTCGATTGACTTCGCCCGGAGTAAGTGCCACATAACCTTTTTACTAATATCCCATTTCTCCGCTGTAGGGAAAGTATAAAGAAGTTGCATTCTTGCATTGGAGGCGGCTGCATCGGCTGCCTCGTTACCGAGGATTCCCGCGTGTCCTGAAACCCACATCAGTTTAATTTTATTTGGATTTTGAATGCAGTTATTTCTTATTGCGGTTACAAGTTCGCTGTGGTTATTAATATTTTGTACTGCCTTAATGGTTGATCTGCTGTCCGTACATATAAGAAATTTCCCTTTGGTTTTTCTAGCAAAGTCGGTTGCAAGTTTAACGGCTAGTACTTCGGCAGTAAATACCGAGCAGTAAGAAAAGATATAACCGGCGGTTAAGAGAGAGCCATCTTGTTGCACCACGGCAAACGTAGTGTGTTCTTGGTTTTTAGACCCATCGGTAAAAATTATTGACCAATTGGCATCCGTAAGAGGTTTAGTGCATTGGACAAATAATTGTTTGTATGTAGTGTTGCTAGTTGAACGCTTCGAAAAAGTATGCAAATCTGAGATAAAAGAAGTATCCTTTATAAGCCAAGGTGGTTCCACCGTTTTCTTTGTTCTGTGTATTTGAATGTCGAGATCTATGCATTTGGCGAAATCAGTACACCGCTGAATTGTCGATTTATACTTTAACGGTCGCAGTATAAGCTGATACGTCGTTGTTTCTAATTGTTGCCGTAAAGAGGGGAATCCAGCTTCTACCAGCATATTTTTTTACCGGAAAGGTGGGAAACGCACCGATGCTCCTTCTGACTGCGGCATGGTAGGGGGCTTCAAGCTGTTTTATATTGCTTTTGGAGCACCAACCGTAAATTGGTAGGGCATAATTTATTTTTGATAAAATTAATGCTTTTGTGATATTTGTTAGAGTAGTTATGTGAATACAAAAGTGTTTGGACGAAAGATACTTAATGATATTTAGCCTGGTAGCTAGATTCTTTCTTAGTTCTAAACATTGTTGCTTAAAAGTAAGTTTGTTATCAAAGAGTACTCCCAGTAGTCTTAAGTTATTTACAAGTTCAATTTGTATGTTATTATATTCTAGGCAAAACCCTGAGCAACATCTTTTCTTGCAAACGTGTAGTACTTTACATTTTTCAATTGAAAGAATTGCCCCAGATGTATAGCTCCAAGTTTTAATTTCGTTTAAGACGGAAATAAAAATATCTTTAGCTTTATTATTGTCGTTTAGCTTTGAAAAAATTATAACATCGTCAGCGTATATAACGTGCTCTACATGTTTATATTTACTGAGAATTTTACTGA